TTTCTGGGGTCAGAAGGTGCCAACCTGCGTCTCCACCTCTGCCTCCTCAGCAGCGAGTTTCCTGACCTCCAACAGTGTCGATAAGTTCAAGCTGTTTTTTTCTGTTTTTCATGAACCAAGTTGGAAGTGTTTGACACATGGAGCACAATTTAATATGTTTAGAAAAGGACTTAGGAGCTCCGATATTCCTTTGGGGATGGAGGCGATCCAGAGCAGGATTTTTTCTCTGGCTGTTGCTGAAAGGAACGGTGACATTACAGCAGTGAGACGCTGCTGGGAGTGACAGAGGAGCCCAGAGCACCTGTGGAGAAAATCATAGTAGTGGAAATGCCCAGAACTACCGCAGCTCAAAGGTGGTGGCTCGCTCGCTCCGTAGAACTTTTAATATTTGCTTTCTGACTTCCAGGGCATCTTTTATTGTGCGTGTGTGTGTTCACGTGTGTGTTCTGTTGTTTTATGAATTAAATCGTGAGCCGCTTTCCTAGGTGAGGTGTCACTGACTCCCTTTCTAGTCTCAGTGTAGGATGGAGGAGGACCCTGCCTTCTTGTCTGCTGATCTAGAAGAGCCATGGCAGAAATTGGTCACGGGCCCTGATGCTGGGATGAGTCATGGCCTGCTGGGTCCCTTAAGTGTTCTGTGAATTGCTGCTTCCTTGACTGGGTGGTTCTATGGAAATGATCTGTGTTTTCAATGGACTCTGCTATATTTCTTTTTTCTTCTCTTTTTTATTTTTAAAATTTATTTCTTTCAAAACAAGTGAGGCAGAGAGAACTAGAGAGAAAAAGGGCATCCCTAACAGGGTTTTAACTCTGCAGTCCACCTCAGTCTCAGCCAGCCTGGGTCATGGGCACACACACCTGCGTTATGTACTGGGGCAGATTTCCAGATGCGAACCCAGAACCTTCCTACGTGGGTCAGCCTCATGGAGTGCCACGTTTACCACCTTGCCGCCGTCCCGCCCCAGCAATTTTATCACCCAGAATGAATCTTCCTCATACCCTTGATTCTCAGGTCACTGGTTAGTGTCCTGAAACAAAACAGGAGGGAGCTAAGAGTCTTAAGTGAAGATTTAAACATACTTGTGACATACTCTGATTTCTAACAGCATTTGAATTTTATAAGAAAAAATTTTTTTTCCTTGTTTTCTTTGTAAAAGTGATCATGCTCTACAAGATGGAAACATTTTTGTAGAACTCGTCATGAGATAAACTGCTGACTTGTTTGTTTTCTCTGGAAGAATTAGAATTATTTACATGTATTACTTTATATCCCAAAAACATGTTTAAATAAGACAAGTGATTTATTAAATAAGAAAATGGAACTAAATTTTTATTATATGATTACTGGTTTTTTCACTAGGAAACTAATGTCTCTTTATTTCTATTTCTTTTTTTTTTTTTTTTTTTTGAGACGTTTTTGCTATAGGGCACGTGTGCTCACCAGAAAGACAGAGAGACAGAGAGACAGAAAACAAGAAGTGAAAAAGCACCCCCCAGGGGGATGGCCACACCACAATCCCTTCTCCTCCATTCTCCTCTCGGGATCTTGGGCACGCATGCACATGCGTTCAGCGTGAGTTTAGCCACTGTGTCCAGGACTTGAACTGGGGTTGACAACATGGGAGTCCAGTGACATAGCCGCCATTACGCCAACTGCTGGTCCCTGTCTTTTATCAGGAGACAATTAAAGGACTTAATCTTGCCCTCCAGAGCCAATTCCATTACTCTCTTTGAGGAAAAATGAGCTTTTCAGCAATGTTTTCCTTTTTTATAAGATATTATATTTAGTACCCCCAAAATTTGTAATCGCTCAGACATCTGTAAAAAGAGCCATTTGCTTTATCTACATCATTATTATTTTTGCAGACTTCTCCATCTTTGTTTCAGTTTCAAGGTACCTGCAGAGTACAAGACACTTTGAGATAAGAAAATCTGATAACTACCATCAATATTGAGATTATTCTTATGTATTTCATCTTTCGTGATTAGATATAAAGTACTCGTTTTCCTGTATTATGCTGTTAGCTTTTCTGTTACATTTTGATCCTGACCTAAGTCACATTCTTATAAATATTTTGAGAAAAAAAAAAAAAGGGAGACTGAAAAATGAAAAGTGAAACAAACATTACCTGATTTTTACAAGTGGTGAGTGTCACTTCCTTGAGGACAGGCCCCTCAGAACTCAGTATCTTTTTTAAAAAAAAAAAAATATTATGTTTTAGAGATTTTGCTATAGGGTACGTGCACTTGCCAGACAAAGAGAGAGAGAAAGCGAGAAGTCACCCCCCAGAGGGGATGGCCACATCGTAATCCCTTCTCCTCCATTCTCCTCTTGGGATCTTGGGCACGCACGCACACGCACCCAGTGTGAGTTTTAAGCCACCGGGTCCAGGACTTGAACTGCAGTCGACTACATGGGAGTCCAGCGACATAGCCATTATGCTAACAGCTGATCCCAGAACTCAGTATCTCTATTCCAACAAGTTGGAGTCAGTCACTGGGGCCTTGACTCTTCAGAAGAATGAAGTAACTTGGAACCAAACCTAATAAATAAGGGGTGAGCCACTCTTATAGGAAGGGAGCTAGCAT